GAAGAAAAAGTACACCCAACCCGTGCTCCTAAAGAGTGAAAATCAATGCTGAGAGGGACCACGGGCCCTAAGACTGAGAGACAGAGTGAGAGAAAAGAAGAATTTCAGAGTGAAACGTAAAGTCCATCCCAGACTACAGTCTTTTTGTTTATTTATTTATTTATTTATTTATTTATTTTAGAAAGAGAAAGAGAAGCATTGATTGGTTGTGTTACTTATTTATGCATTTATCCGTTGTTTCTTGTACGTGTCCTGACGAGAGACTGAACCTGCAATCTTGGTGTATCAGGATGATGCTGTAACCAACTGAGCTACCCATCTTATAAGATGTCAAGCTTACAAGATGGCAAAAAATAGGGAACACCTCACTCAAAGGCACCGAAGTTGCTTAGACTCTCCCACTGGGGGAGAGTGAGGGAACGTGGACACACCCCTCCCTCCCCATCAGATTCCAAGGGTTCTAGGAGTGGGAGGGACAGATGCCAAAGGCCATCACATTCTCTCCCTGGCTCAACTCTACAAACAAAGCAGGCGCATAACTGTTCCCAGCTGCTACCAATTGTTCCTGTGGGACCAAGGGTCAGCATGGAGGCCCAGCATTCCCACTGCTTTCGGCTGGTGGGACTTGGAGCAAGGCCTCCTACCTCCCTGCACCTCCATGACCTACAAAGAGCAAAGATCCAGAGGGATATTCCTCAAGTCCCTCCCAGCCCCTGCGTGTCTGAGGCTTCTCTGGGCTTTAACGGGAAAAGGCACTGGCTAGTGCAGGGTGGGGTTCCTAGCTTTAACAACTACGCATAGTCCAGCCAGCATGGGCCCTGGACCCACACCAGCTGGGCTCGAACCCTCTCCCTGCCACTTGCCAGCTGGGTGTGACCCTGACCAGGTTTCACAAACCCCTAATGTTTCAATCTCTCCAAGTAGAAACTGGAAATGACATTAGCATCCACCTCAATGTTGCAGTGAGGAGTAAATGAAACACAAAAGAAGCATTTGCAATCGTGTCACTTACAGAAGATACATTTTTTTCATCACCACCTATTTCTTGCCCACCTGTTCTTAAAATTTCTCCAAGATATATAATCTCCACACTGATCACCAACACAACACACTCCCAAGGGGGAGACGGAGCCACGAAAGATCCAAACTGTTAAGCGTGGAAGACGGTGCTGTGTAGGATACTTATAAAAAGCATCTGACCAGCATGACAGCACATACCAGCCGTCTGCGCTCAGAACTACAACACGAAGAAGAGGCACTGAGACAGAAGTGGGTGGGCGGCACACACTCCCTCCAGAACCAGCCACAAAAACCTCAAGGGGATGCAAATAAGTGAGGCTGCTACTATTCTAGGGATAACCTTGACTTTTTTGTAAGTAACTTCAATGCAAACACCAGTACTTCACTCTGACAAATAACTAAGTGCTTGGATAACGCCATTCCTGACTGAGGTCATGGGCAACAGGATGGAAATATCCTAGGTACCCACCCAGCTGGGGTCAAGGTCCTGAAGGCACAAACGCAGGCATGGCAATGGGGCTGCCAGTTTACAGGGAGAATTGTTCCCACCAAATCCAGCCGCATAGCTTATCCTCCTGGCCCCTCCTGACTTTTGAGGCCCAGAGGCCCAGCAGAAAGGCCTCTGTTGTCTTTCCAGAGGGTTCTGTGTTCAGACAAGAGAGCTGGAGGATTTTGAAGAAACAGCAACCCCTCTCACGCACACATACAGCCTTCCAAACGTGAGGAGGTCGAGGACGGATACACTTAATTGTGGTGATGAAAAAAACAAACAAGTAAATAAATAAAACTGCACAAGTGGGCAAACACAGCTCAGGTCCCAACCCTTCCAGCTGAAAACACGGTTATAGTATGGAGGCTCCTGGGACCTGCCTTGGCGGCTTTCCAAGAGCTATTAGTTTGCGTTCACACGCTGAGGAGAAGGTCAGGTAAATTAAAAGTGAGGAGGTAATTTTGAAAAAGGACATCTTCATACCCAGCACCAGCCCGGCGGCCGCCCCATACACACTCAGTGCGGACACTCCCGCAGCTGGCACAGAGGTCACCGCATCTGTGCGTGGATTTTTGCTGTTGACGCAGATCGCAAGAGAGCACAGGGACGAGGCTCAGGCTAGGAACTCTAAGAAGATGGAGAGATCTTGACTCGTATTCTGACTACTAAAGAGGGACTCTGAACTTCAAAGCAAGTCTGAACTTTAAAGGCAACCTAGTAAAACGTGCACCGACAAGCACCAAGTTCATTTCTGACCCAACCTCTCCACCGTCACCCACGTGGCACTCTCCCCCCACTGGAAAGGGATTTCTTTTCTTTTTTAGGTGCCTGAATTCCGGATCACACACACCTTCCTTCAGCCAAGACTGTTTGTTAATTGTTCGCCTGACACCAGGATCCTTCCCCAAACTTCAGCATCCGCAGTGACAATCCCCCAGAGACAGCACTCCTGCCAGCACATGCTTTCCTGAGACCTGCTACAATCGCACCAACACAGAATACCATCGTCCCCAGCCACTCCCCACCTTCCCAGAGCCAGAGGGACTAGACACAGAGAAGGGGGTAACAATGAGTCCCCACTGCTCTTGGGAAGGAGCAGGGCAACTGCCTGCCGGGACCACCACAGAGTCCGAACGGACATGAACTTTCCAGCCCAAGTCTTAACCGAGGACTGCTCTTTGCAATTTTCTTGATACTGCTGCCTATCAATGCGAGAGTGACTTCAATCCCAAGCCATGTGGGGCATTAGGAAAAGTCATGTCAAATATCAGCGTCATCCAGATCCCATCCTGAGGAGCCCCTTCTCAGGGAGCAGCCAAAGACCTCCCCCGGCCTGGGACCACAAGTGGACTCTGGCGTCCAATGCTTTGAGAAGCCAGCTGGGCAGAGGTCCGGCTGGTTATTTTTAAACGGAGAAAACTGAATAGGAAAGAAGAAAATGTGAATGCCTATGGTCTCCTGAGGTCCAGCCTCAAGATGCTACCAAAGAACACTGCATATGCCCCTGCTTCTTTATGAAAACCTATATGGCTGTGTAACTATCTGCACATGAGTACTGTATTCACAGTACTCATGTGCAGATAGTTAGAGAGAGAGAGAGAGAGAGAGAGAGAGAGAGAGAGAGAGAGAGAGAGAGAGAGAGAGAGAACTTGAAATGTGCACTGCTGAGGAGACAGGAAAGGCCATGAGCTGCTTTGCAGCACTGGCTGAGAGGAGATGCCACTAGCAGACCTGGGCGAGCCCCTGAGCTGCTGCCTTTGCAGCCAGCCTTAAAACCAGCCAGTGCCGCCCGCCAGGTAAAGCCCTGAACCAGGACTGCAGACTCCTTCCTGCTAATGACTCTGGTCACAAGTCACCTCAATGTGGGAAGGCAGGCTGGAATGAACAAAGGAGCAAAGCAGCTTCCTTTTCCTCTTTGGCCAGCCACTAAAGGGGGCAAAGGTCACGCTCTCCCCTGTCCTGCATCAGCTCCTTTCTCAGGCCTCTCTGCTTCAGGGTGACTACACGGACTTCAACTTGAGAAAAGTTAAAAGGCCTCTAGGCAGGGGAGCTTTGCTCTTGCCCTCACAGCCGAAAAATGTAGGGTGCCAGCTCCCACTTGCCTCTTTAGAATGACTTCCTGCCTCTAACACTTGGCTTCTCCTGTTTCCAAGGGCAGAGTTGCCATCCCACCCAAACCTCGGCTTTCTCCTCCTCAACTTCACAGCCTCCTAAGTACCTGGCCTTCCTTCCCTGGTCAACAACCAGAACCCAGTGCAGACACCGGCGTCAGCACAGGGCCGGGTCGCAGTAAGTGCCAGGAGTCCTGAGCCCTAAACTTGGCATCTGACATCTCTGAAAACCAAATGCAATGCCTTGTTCCTGCATCACCCAAGCACCTAGCACCCTGGCGGTGCTCCGAAAACGAAAGGCACCTCTTCCCTCTGCCGCGCGGCAGCTGTGAAACCCAGGCTTTGTGTGTGACGTGACAGCGAGTCACACACCCCCTGCACCCGGTCTGCTCGGTGCACGGGGTCCGCGCGCGCGGAGAGCGCCCCGGGAGCGGGTCCGCCTGGCAGGCGGCCTTGTCCCCAGGCCTCTGGCCACCGGCCTGCGCCCTGGCCCCGGGGCGCGGGGATGACATCCGCGCCTCCTGCCCGGCCGCGGGGGCGGCGGGAGAGAGAAGCGCCGCGGGCCCGGCAGAGGCGATGCCCGGAACCAAAGGGCGGCAGGCTGGGGGCGCATCCCCCGACTCCAGCACCCACCGCCCGCCCCCAACTTTGCGCGCAGCGGGCCGGGAGCGGGCCGGGGCCGCTGGACTCGGCAGGAAGTTGCCGGGCCGCACTGAGCGTGCTCTCCGAGTGTGTGCGCGGGTGTGGACGCCGCGCCGCCCGCAGCCTCTCCGGCCCGGCAGGCTGGCCCGGGGCGCGGGCGGGAGCGCCGGCCGCCCGCCGTCCACCGGGCTGGGGGCACCATGGACCCCGCTCTCCCGGACCAGAGCGCCCGCCCGCCCGCCCGCCGCATCCCGCTGCCCCTGGGGCCCGGGGCCAGCCTCCCTTCTTCCCCGTCACCGGCCGGTGGCTGAGCCCGCCCAGAGCGCCCAGGAACCGGGCACACCAGCCCGGCCCACACCCCCAGCAGGACCCCACCGAAGCTCCTCCGCGGTCCGACGCCCATCTGCCATCTCCAGCAGCTCGCCTCCGGCCCGCACAGCCACAGCCTCCTCTGGACAGTCCCTTTGAAAATCCCACAAACCGCCTCCCCACGGGTCCCGGGGGCCTGCAGCCTCCCCTGGAAACGCGTTGCCACGGACAGGTGGGCGCCTCAAGGCGCGTCCCCGGCTCCACTCCCTGACCCGCAGAGCGGCCAGATGCAAGCAGAGCCCCGGGCTGCGCCACCTTCGGCACCGGCTCTCCCCGCCCGCGCCCCGCGCCCCGAGCCCCGCTCTGCGTGCATCTCCCCGCGGGGATGGCGAGTTTCCACGCGATCGCCCCGACCCAGCGGCTCTCACCTCCTTGTCGGGCAGCAGCCAGGAGCACCCTCCACTCGCTGTCCCCGCAGGGCCCCAGGCGGAGCGGGACACGGAGTTGCGGCGCCGGGAGTCTGCGGCGCGGCTACCAGGCTGGATCGCGCCCGGGGCCACCGCGGCCGCCGCCGGAGCCGCCGCAGGGCCGCCGCCGCGCTGGAGGCGGCAGGGACGGTCTGCAAACTCCCAGCCCTGGCGGGCTGCGCGCGGCGCCGCCACACTCGGCACGGACGCGGCAGACACTCCTCCGAAGCACGGCCGACCGGGGCTGAAGTCGGTCCGCTATGTCTCCCAGCCCTCCCTTTCCCGACGTCTCCAACTTCTCCCCGCTCCTGGGCTCCTGGCTCTGGGAGGCAGGGATCCCAGCCAGGGACGCTCGGCAAACTCCCGCCCTCCCCGGCCCAGCGCTCAGCCAATTCGAAACGCCCTAGCCTCTCAGGGGCCGTCTATAAATTACCAACCCTGTCAGAGAGGACTTCTACCAGTCTTACAATTCCGCAGCCCAGAGGGGGGAGGAAATGGAAGAGACCGTTTGATCCCGACCATAAATAATATTCTAGCAAGGTTACGGGGCCGTGTGCAAATGCGAATAGGCACTGCGTCCCCCAGAGTGGTGCAGTCCGGGCCTCTAAGCAGTGAAGCCGTGGAGGGGAGACTGTGAGCTCAGTTATCTCAGATATGCCTGAGCCTTTCCACCCTGGTACTATGGGTTAAATGAAGCAGTGTGAGTTTCTGACACTTGGTTTTGAGGGCAAGCCACTTAACTATATGAATTTAGCTTCGTGAGGTTTTTTGTTTGTTTGGTTTTTGGTTTTGGGTGTTGTTGTTTTTTGTGAGGTTATTTTGAGAAGAAATAAAATAAATGTAAAGTACTTAGAAACACCTAGCACATAGTAGATGCTCAATAAATGAATTCTATTTCTCTTTCTCTCTTCCCTTCCTTCCTCTGTATTTTATGACTACTGTAGACAGGCTAGCTAAACATTGTAGTGTAGTAAGTTCAAAAAATAAATAAAACACATCCCATGTTCTGAAAGCACCATAAAGAACATTAACTGGTATGACATTCAATCCAGCCAAGCCCAGGAGAGAGGATATGTATATTTACATCACTAAGCATTACAGATCATTGTTAAAGGTATTAGAATACAAGGAGAGTAGCCTGGTGGGTTACTTAGGGGTGAAAATGACAAGGTTTCTAACCCCAGCAGGTCGCAGGCCATGTTCCAGTCATTATGTCAGGTTACTGTATGTGAGTTTATGGGCAGCTTTCCCTTTTGTTCCCTGCAGGATTTTTCCATCCCCATTTCACTGTCCTCCTGGGGTCATCTTTCTTGAATTTAGGTCACCCCACCCTGCTGACCTCCCTCACACCCTCCTCCCCCTTTCCCTCAGCAGAGGATTTAAAAACAAAGAATCATGGAACTGTGGGACCCTAGCAATGACTTAGTCCAACTCCCTCATTTTGTAAGTGAGCTCTCAAGCCACCTAGCTAATTAGGGAAGTCTCCTGACTTCAGGATCTTAGTAGGAAACACCCTGTGGCCTAGCTTCTGTAGAACTAGCTCCAGGCACAGCAAGTCAGTCTTCCTTTAACTTCAAACTGGAGGAAGTGGCTTTCACATTTTCTGAAGAAATGGGCCCCAAATTATCAGCCAGTTGAATCCTCAGCTGTCAGAGACTGTCCCGGTGATGCCCAAGAACCACAGGAAATCCGCATGGGCAGAAGGATTCCTCTTAATAAGACCTTTTGGTGAAATCCCAGAATGTTGGGAGGCAGGTGTTTCCTTCGGTCCCTTGGAAGGAAATACCATCTCTAACTCTTCTGGCATTGGGAGGGAAATAGAAGAATGGTGACATCTGGTGGTCAGGACGTTCTGTGCTTTGGATAAGGAAGGTACAGATTGCTTTGAAGCCAAGCCCCATGGATGGTTAATACTTGTACCACCTGGTTGCCTACAGATTTCTGAAAGATGTCAATTATTTATACTTTGTAGACCCACTGCTGGAGAAGACATTATAGATGATTATTACTTCAGGGTTTTTATGAATGTGTATGTGTATAGAGAGAAAGTATAAAAATATAATATTCACATGTACACACATGTGAATATTATATGTATTTCATATAATACAAATATGCTTGTATTATATATACCATTTATTTGTATAAATAATATACTTGCAATGTCTTTGAGGGAAATTAATACTATCTCAATTGTTTTTCTTACAGAATCAACATTTTATTTGTTTTCAAATTACAAACGCACATTTTATTTTACATTCTGTTTACAAAGGAACAGTAAAAATGTAATAAGGAACAAAAGTAATAAAATTATAGCCATAGATATTTATATAGCAAGTACAGGCAAAACTTATGAAGAAGATTCTTTAAATACTAGCCTTTGTCAAATCACTTTCCAAGAATAATTCTTTACCATCTTCAGGAAGAATTTTTAGGAGGCTGAACCTAAATAATTCAAACTATGACTAGCTTAATGAAAAAATACATTCTTTGAAAATCTCAAAGGTCCTGAGGCTAGTTAACCAAATCAAATTTGAAAAGATCCAAAGGCTCATAAACTAGGATCTCATAACTTCTTTATTAAATTGTTTTTAAAGAAGCTCAAAGATACTATCATTTGTTGATTGGTATAATACAGACTTAGCTTACTTAATTTCTTAATCCATTAAAATTGTTTCTGTTACCTTAGAGCAGTGATTCTCAACCTTTCTAATGCCACAACCCTTTAATACAGTTCCTCATGTTGTGGTGACCCCCAGCCATAAAATTATTTTTGTTGCTACTTCATAACTGTAATTTTGCTACTGTTGTGAATTGTAGTGTAAATATCGGTGTTTTCTGATGGTCTTAGGTGATCCTGTGGTAACCAACAGGTTGAGAACCGATGCTATAGAGCAGGCGTCCTCAAACTTTTTAAAGTGGGGGCCAGATCATGGTCCCTCAGAGAGCTGGAGGGCCGGACTATATGAACTACTAATTCCTACTGTAACACCTCGGCTGCGCTCACTGCCCAAAAAAACCTGGCGGGCCGGATCAGACTCCTCTGCGGGCCGCATGTGGCCCTCGGGCCGTAGTTTGAAGACGCCTGCTATAGAGCCTAAGGTTAAGGAAGGATAGAGCCTAAAGATATTGTGAAATGTAATGTCTAAACTTTGAAGTTTCTGGACCAGAAAATGGAGAAGCCACCCAAGACCTATATTTTTTCTCAAGGGAACTGTCTTCTTGGAATTCAAATTCCTGATGAAGTGCCTGGGAGATTACAGACACTGTCTCTCAATGTGAACTATGCCTCTTCCTCGTGTGAATGGGTCTGCCTCCAGATGACCGACCGTTCAATAACTTGAAGTGTAATCTCATTCATATTCTTTAAAATATCCAAGATGTTTGGAACATCTTTGTTTTTCTGATTTTTTGAATGATGACTATAATTGGTCTTGCTAGCACGTGGTGATTTTTTTTTTAGTTGCTGAATTATCTGAGTCACAAATATTATTAAATCCTGGCTTTTCAAGAGGAGAGCATGTAGTCTGTAGAGGAGAAAACGGGGCACAGGAGAGGGAAGGGCTGGATTTGAAGGAAGTACTGGAACTACAGGATGGGAAGGAGAGGGAAGTACTGAATTTGAACATGGATCTGGCTTGACGCTCAGTTGAGCAGTCCCTGATGATGGCTCTGTCCCAAACCACCAGGCCCGTCATTCCAAAGGAGCTGAATTTGTGCTGTTTTTCAGTTCCTGCATTTCCACAATTGCAACAGTGTGAGAACCTAGAAAATTTTATTCATCTTCAAGGACAGCTATTTTTTAAATTGAAGCTTTACATACCGGCTGAGCATTTTTTACTGGTGAGTTATACGTTAGAGAGCAAGTGACGGTGGATCCCAGTCTAATTGCAATGGATAGAAAAATTCACTTTTCTCATCTTCCTCATTTTTTCAAGACCATTGCAAGATCTGAGATAGTTGGCTTCATCATTTGCCACACACAAAAGATGAAACTACACATCCACAGTCACCTTAGTCTACAGAGTTCAGGGGCAGGATCAACTCAAAATCAGGCCTGGGACGAGGCTTTGAAGGACACCTGCGAACCTGGGCTTGCAGGCCACGGGCTCTAAAGACATCCGGGAGACCCAAGGCTGGGTCCTGGAAATCCTCGCTCAGCCCGGATAACTCCAGCAGAGGAGCCACCTCCTCCTAGTGTGTCCCACCCAATCTCTGCTCCAGAGCTAAGATTTTAATTTATAGTAATAATTGCTAAAGGACACTTCTTATAGACATAAAGATGCTTACTGGGATGGATTTGTATATTTCATAATTTCCTCTCAAGAAAGAATTCATCACCAACTTAGAGGGTAAGAAATAACACAATGGGATTTCAATAGAGAACGCCCTGTCAGCTGATGGTCAAGGTCATGCTTACCTGGTAAACAGTGATTCATCTTTTAACATTTCCATCCTTTCTGATCAGGTGTTAGGTTACTAGAAGAAGGATATTTGGGGTTACTTTGCAGCTGTGTATTGGTGGCCGTTTGTATTGCTAAGTCTGTTCCACTGCTCCCCATTTTTAACTGCTTCAGATAACTGCTCTGTTACAAACTTGCAAAGCATTCCTGTGTCCACTCAAGTCCATTGTTTCTCAGCATCTCTTACCAAGCTCAATGTGAATCATACTCTTCTCATAGCAGCTCTTAGAGCAGATTTTACTATACCCATCCTATCTAATAAAAGAGTAATATGCATATTAACTGTCACTCCACAATAAAATGGCGGTACCTATAGCCACAAGATAGCGGCACCCAGTCCTCTCAGCCCACCAGAGTCCCTCAGTCTCAGGAAGGGCTGCTGCTGAGAGCCTGCGGAGTAAGTGGCCAGGCGGAATACTGCTCAGAGGCCATCCTGACCCTTTATGAAAAACAAAAACAAATTCATTCCCCACGGCTAGATTCCCTGCCAGGGGCGGCAGGCTGGGCTGGGGTCTCAGCTTGGACCCCCACGGCATGATCCCCTCCCAGCAGCCGCAGTCTGGGGTCTCAATCACTGAGTCACACCAGCCAGGCAGATTTGGAGGAATCTTAAATGTTTCTTTAAAAAAAA